TCATATTCGCCCCCCCAGCCCCCGGAGACTCCAGTTCCCGCTTCATTGCCGGGTAATTACCCTTACACTTTCTTGGGCACTGAAAATATTGGTAATTTTGTGGTTGGCTTTCCCAATAGAGTTTTTTGGGAGGAGCTCTGGGTGGGGATTCTGTTTTCCTTCAAGATCCACTTGACCACTAAAAGCAAAGTGCTCAGTAGGACACTGGTGATGATGCATGTTTTTTTCAGTCACTAAAGACTCCCTTTCCTCTTTATTCTTTTACTTACTTTTTCTGGGGGTCACAAAACTTTTAGAAAATTAATTGATTTTTGCAACTCTTCTTAAATGCAGTAGGAAGAGTAAACACACAAGAGGCGCTGCTTATTAGAGGCACACACTTCTCTTCTCATCATTCCAGCATTTCAAGGACACACACACATGCCAAAGTTACCTTTTTACTGTGCGAGAATAAAAAGAAACTCTCTAGCTCTTGAAGTTGCTGAACCAATCTAGAAGATAAAGCAAATGCATATGGGATTAATTAAGCCTCCAAACTGTCTTAAAGGACTAGAAATGATTTAAAAACTTATAAAGGAAAACTGTCAATTCATATATATTCTTCTTCAATGGCCAAATCGGATCACTTCATGAAGGCCCCCCCCCCCCCCCCCCCCCCCCCCCCCCCCCCCCCTGGTGAGTAGTAGTCAGAAGTGCACACTTGGTTGCACTGCCTTGTGCTAAACCTGCCACAATGGGCCCTGAGCAATCTGCTGCAGGGCCTCTGTGTTGATTCCATGTGGAGCATTTCCTGCGGCCCTGTTGGAATGACTAATAAAATGTATAACTAAAGTGTTCTTCTATTATTACTTGCTCTTTACCAAACACTGGAAATTTACTTACAAACTATGTTCTTCTAAGTTAGTTCATCAAATGACAACAGAAGAAAACAGTTAATGCCTCACTTATAAAAAGCGGCAAAGTCCACCACTACCCTAGAGCCCTAATAAACGTGTCTTGAACTGTTCAAAACTTGGGTGGGTGCCGGAGGCTTTTGTGTTGTTGTTTTGTTTTGTTTCTTTTACTTAGGATTTGCCTTGAAATTTTGTCTGTAAAATTCTTACACACATTTTGATTCCGAACTCTTTGAAAACGATTGCCTCGTATTTGCAAAAGGGTCACAATTTCGTTCTATAGTTCTAGAATGATCATGTACTCAAAGTAAACACAGTGTGAAGGGAAGCGAAATGAACATGATTATTATTTACCTGATCACTAACAAGAATGTGAATACCAGTGGGACCCTGTCTGTAAACCTGGTTAATTTGGTGGAAAGGAATATTAAACACCAACGCAAGTTTTCGAGCAACTTCTGAGGCAATCATTTCTTCCAAGTAGATTGCATGATAAACTGAAATTTAAAAAAAAGACAGCATTTTAACAGCAATCTTTGATCTGTTTTCTACCTAATTTAAAGGAAGATCACACCTTTCAAAGTACCAAAAATAAAATAATTAGGAATAAATTAACATTTCTTTTCCCCTCTTACTACCTTAAAATCTCCAACTACTCATCTGAAATAAAAATACAGTATTTATATTCACACATATAATTTAATAAACATTAACCATAATCCCTGTACAAAAGGATTTAAGGTTTTGATTTTCTTTATATTTTCTGCAATGAATATGAAGTTTCATGTATTCAAAATTTAAAAACAGGAATTGGCTGCAAACGGATACAGCGAATCTGCTTAAGGTAATGGGACACAATCTGGATGGTGGCAATAGCTGCAAAGCTGTCAATTTACTAAAATATCATTGAATTATATACTTACAATGGGAGGATTTCATGGTATGTAAATTATACCCGAAGAAAGCTGCTTTAAAAAATAATACGTATTTCTAGCAATATACAAAAAGAATCCTGAAACGATCATAGTTTTTGAACCGGTAATTCTACTGGTAATTTATACTAAGGAATAAAAGCTATCTCTACACATCTCACACACACAATTTAAAAAAACATAAAAAAAGGCCGGATGCAGTGGCTCACACCTGTAATCCTAGCACTCTGGTAGGCTGAGGCGGGTGGACTGCTCAAGGTTAGGAGTTTGAAACCAGCCTGAGCAAGAGCAAGAACTCTCTACTAAAAACAGAAAAAAGATTAATTGGCCAACTAAAAATATATAGAAAAAATTAGCCACGCATGGTGGCACATGGCTGTAGTCCCAGCTACTTGGGAGGCTGAGGCAGAAGGATTGCTTGAGCCCAGGAGTTTGAGGTTGCTGACGCCACAGCACTCTAGCCCGGGCAACAGAGTGAGACTCTGTCTCAAAATAAATAAATAAATAACATAAAAAAGATACTATATGAAAAGTTAAGAACGTAAACAATGAAGGCTGATTCTTCTTTACAGAAAGTCCCAGCCACATTCCATCCAGTGTTCTGCATTTCTGCCTCATATAACTTAGCAGCAAAGGTCTGCACAGCGCACATCTATAGTGAGTCTTACTTTCACAGATCCTGCTCAATACTGATTCAATCCAGGATCAGGAGTATCACTGCTGAGAACTTTGCTTCCTCAGACAAGGGGTTTTTTCTTATTGTGTGTGTGTAGAAATCTTAACTAATTTTATACTATTAGAATATGGAACTAACATTAGGGTAACACTTTAGAAAAGATCTAGAGCAGGGGTCACCAAACCACAGCTTGCATGGGTCAATTCCTGCCCTTCATGTAGTCTTTTTAATGACATTTTACTAAAAACGTGGCCATCCCTTATCATTTACATATTGTCTATGGCTATTTTTGCACTACAATGGCAGAGTTGAAAGTGCAAGAGACCCTATGGTCCGAAGTGTTGGAAATATTTACTACCTGGCTTTTTATGGAACAAGTTTGCTGACCTATGATCTAGGATTAAGGTCTGTAATATTTCCCCCCATAACTCCACAAACACTTGATTTGAGGACATGCCTTCCAAATACCACAATCCTGACCACGTATAAATGATATATGTAAGAATTCAATGATACATGGAGCACTCCTTTAAATTTTTATCCTTTAAGACTAAGAATTTGTATCATTAGTCTTAAAATTCACAGCTCTTGAAGTCAAGATGATACTAAATATAAAAGCTCACAATATTGATGCTCTCCTTCCAATTTTTCATTTAAAGTCAAACCCAAAACATTTTTTAGAGCTTCACCTATTATTAGGGCAAATAATTGTCTTTTTGAATTCCATAACACATCTTCCTCTGAAAAGATCTGTGTTGCCTTCATTCTGTTTCAGATGTGGGAGAAGGGAATATTACTATATACTCATGTTACAAATGAGAAACCATATCCTTTTGTAAAATGCTCACCTTTTTACCTTTTTGTAAGGGCCATATTGGGGGGGGGGGCAGGATTTTAATCTCTAATCCAGCACTACACTGTACAATTAAGAAGACCCCTCAGGATGAAAAGCCCTCCCAATATTCAGATGGAAAATAATGTAGAGTGTATTTATAATGACACAAGAACATAGCACCAGACTCACCATGCACAAAGTAAACGGTGCTGGCCCAACACACCTTTGTACATATATAATATTTTAAGAGTTTCCCCTGCCCAGTCAGTAGAATTGGGGGGGGGGGGAAGAACCTTCCTGCTTTTCTTACTAAGCCATCAATGTTACATTTATCATTTCAGTAAATTTGAGATTAAAAATTAAAAAATGCCAGCAAAATCTCAAAGCGTTCAAGCTAGTTTCTCACTTTATAGGTATTTCTGGCAGAAAAAGCCAACTAAAAAAGAAATCCATAGTGTGGCTGAAATAACTGAGGAAGGATATTCGTTTCCGCTTCTCCCATGGACTTGGCCCTAGAGCTGCTGCCTCTCGCTGCTGTCACGGCTCCCACACCGGCAACTCGGCAGTCCCAATACGGCAAGAGTTCTCCAAGCCCCACTCAAGTCCTGCCTGTTTCTGACAATCTCAGCAAGGAAGTGACAGAATTAAGATCCCCCAATACTCACCATAGGGTGTCCCACTGCCACTCTCGCCTCCACTGCCCACAGCTTGCTGCTGCCCCTGCAGCGCTGTGTTGTTTGGCTGTTCCCGGCAGACATAGATGGTTAAACGGGGCCTAACCGACCTGCAATCAGAAGACGCCACTGATGAGCCCTGGAGAGAACGCTGCCTTGCCTTACCGCATGTACAAATGACAACTACAGGAATCTAAGTTCTATTCCCTTAGGAGAACTTTATGATGTTATTTCATTACACAAAATAATTTACTAATAAAAATATAAAAACCACACACCTCACACCAACTATCACAGGTGGTCTAACATGATGATCCAGACTCTAAACCATTGAGATGGTCTGTCAGATGCTGGTAAATTTAAGTTTCAAGATTAAGTCAGCAATTTACAATCAGTAGGATTCAATTTTAATGGAATTCTCATACCACAAGAACAGAAATAGCAATGATAGTAAATGGATCTTAAAAGCCAGCACATTACAGTTCTATCATTTTAATTCACAATTAGTTTACATTTTTAATAACTTTAGTGATAGTCATGACCTTGAAAACCATAGATTCTGTATAGCTCACCTAAATTAGAAGTTTTGTTTTCTTGGCAACAAACCCAGTCGTCTTCAAGAAATCAGTACTGCCCATGTGCATTTCTACCAGTCTTACAGTCTACCTCTGCCCTCAGTGCCTGCATCATATCTGGGCCTGCCCTGAAGGTGTACACAAAAGTCTTCTTGTGAGCATGATACTGCCAATGCTCGATGGCACACACAGGCACACGCCAACCTAGCGTGGAAACACAGTGCCCAAATTCCCCACATGAAGAACGGGACATTATTATTTCATGCAAAACAGTTCACAGTATTTTACCTTGACTTCAGTGAATTATAGAGCCGAATTCCATCGGCTGCACCACAAATTTGAACTAAATCCTCCTTTGTCAGTTTTAGTAAGTCGGCACCTGGAGAACAGCAAAGAGATTCTTTTCAAATAAATGGAAAAAGAACAAACAGAACTGGTTGCTTTACAGGTGACTGTCTTCACTCAGTTAAATGTCCTTCAAAATAAGCACGGGTATCCTGAATATACACATAAACAAGAATGACACAAGACATATACAGCTGTCCCTCTGGGCCAAACAAAACGCTGGCTTTTCCATGTCCTGTTATCACAAAGGAACTTAGAAAGCCCAGAGGCTGGTAAATCAAACCAGTGAGCAGGACCTATAGGACGGTCTGTTCCCAATACAGATTT